CCTCCGCGTGGAGATGGAAAGAATGAAATTGCGGGGGTGGGGGGGGCACTCACCCTTGCGGAACAACGGGCCACGCCTCGGTGGCCTCATCTTCGGGGAAGATCTCCCTGACGTCCATCTGAATTTCCCGAAGGCGCCGGCAGTGCTGGAGGCAGAAGGAGGACACGTTCAGGTCCATGGGCCGGTTCACCGTCAGCCTCACTTCCCGGAAGCCGCTCAACGCCAAACGGACAAACTCTTCGTCTTGGGTCTCGAAGAGACAGTAGAAGGAGTCCAGGAAGTCCAGCGGGGAGGTGGTGGCGGCCTGCTGACCCAACAGGGAGACCCACTGGAGCAGCACCCGCCTCACCACCAGGGCCACGGGACACCCCAGCAGGTCCTCCAGGGCCCGCACCACCTCTTTGTTCATGAAGCCAAACAAGAAGCGTTTCATCTGCAGCACGTGGACGTTGAAGCTGACCTGCTTGAGCTCCTTCAGACTCTTGGAATTCTCAATGCACAGAGCGTGGGGCTCCCACTCGGCTTCCAGGCCTTCCAGGACGTAGTACAGGGCCGCGTAGAACTCCTGCAGGCTCGGGTGCAGGAACGTGAAGCACCGCTCCCCCTGGCTGTCCCGCAGGAGGATGTACTTGTGAAACAGCACGGAGAGCTCCGGCTCCGTCAGTCCGTGAATGCCCAGGTCATCGCTGTAGAACACGAACTTCCTGGCCCACATGCCCTGCACGGCCATCCGGCACAGGCCCTTCAGCACCACGCGTTCGTCCGGACTGAGGCAGCATCCCGGGCCATCTCGAGGGGCGAGCTGATGGACCACGAAGGTGACGTACAAGCCCGTGAGGACCTGGCAGGTAGGGGGCAGGCCCTTCCCTGAGGACGTCTGTAGCTCAAGAGCCCGGCAGAGCAGCCACCACGTGACGGACACCTGGCACCTATCAATCAGCACGTGGTTGTCCAGCACCGAGTGCAGGACCTGCGTTTTCTGGTCCTCGTTCTTGACGTGCTTGAGGAACACCTGGATCCTTTTCTCCATCGTGATTCCTTCAATGAAGAGGTAGCGGGGAGAGACGAGCATCGAGCAGAGCTTTTCCAGGCTCTCGTCTCTGACGGTGACGATCAGAGAGGACTCGGGCAGCAGGGCCTTCTTCAGCAGACTGCACATCAGGTCGGCCACAGGCCGCTTCTCTGTCCAGTTGTCACAGACGTTCAGGTCAGCATTTTCGGAGGCAACATCCAGGTCGTCAAAACCGTCAACCACAAACAAGAGCCTGTCTGGTTGGGACATGATGTTTGCCACGGGGACCTCAGAGTCTGGCCACTCCCTGGAAATTAACTCCGTGAAACTGCTTCTCCTCCTCCATGGTATGTCTCGGGCATCGAGGAAGAAGACGTAGGAGAACACACCCGGGTAGAGCTCCCCACGGGCCCAGTGCAGCAGGATTCTTCTGGCCAGAGCCGACTTCCCGACCCCCGGTGTTCCGTGCAGGACCACGGTGAGTGGCCGGAAGCCCTGCTGGTCTGGAGCGAAAGCACCAGACAACATTTGCATTTGTGGACAATCAGCGGCAAAGGTTTTGAAACTGTGGTGTACACCCAACACTGTGGCGAACCTTTTCTTCACATGATGTTTGTAGTTCTCTTTGTCACCTCCTTGGCCTACGTCAGACCGGAGAGGGCAGAAGAGAAACAGGAGACAAAGTTGGAAGACAGTCTGGATTTCAGACACTCTACACACAGGAGAATTTGTTGCTTCTCAGCAATGTATTATTGTGATTATTATTATTCCTCACTTGAGGATATATTTAAAAAATATATATAGATTTCAGAGAGGAAGGGAGATGGAGAGAGA